AGTCTCAAGTCTTTATCCTCAAGTCCCAAGTCAAGTCTCAAGTCTTTATCCTCAAGTCCCAAATTAAGTCTCAAGTAAGTCTCAAGTCTTTATACTCAAGTCCAGAGTCAAGTCCCAAGTCAAGTCTCAAGTCAAGTGTCAAGTCAAGTCTCAAGTCAAGTCTCAAGTCTTTTTTGTCAAGTCTCAAGCAAAGACGAAGAATCACAGATTAACCTGAGGTGAAGCTGGGACCCTGGAAGCAGCCTGCTGTAACACATGAGGTCACTGCCTCGAACAAACAGCCTCTTCAGGGAGCTTAATGAGAAAAATACTAACTAGAATGTGGTTGGAAAAAAGAAGATCCTTCCCTTTTTTCCAGGACTGTGTTGCACACAGAAGACGGTTTAAATTCACTGAACAGCTTCAGATTCTCAGAATGATTTGAGTGGAGGTGGCACGGCCTTATCTCTGCTTTCTGCCAGAGTCTGCAYAAAAAGTGGTGAAACCATCAAGAAAAGTTGCTCATGAAGGTGCATTTTAAACTGCCAGGATAATGTTTGCCAAAACTGAGTGTTTCAACATTTGCAAACTGTTTTTAAATAATCTTAATATCCAAATAAAGCTTCGTCAGAAGTGTAAAAGCAGCTGCTGTTTCAGAGATGAAACAGACAAAAATTCTTGTTTTTTTCCCTTTTGCCTGAAGGTTTTTTGTATTAAACAGCATATAACTCTTTTAAAAATATAATTAAAAAGGCTGAAAACTGTTGGAAACCATAAATTCACATGTGGACGTTACCTGTGCAAAGATTCATGCTGCTAAAATAAACTAGAGCAGGGGTGCCCAAACATTTACTCTGAGAGGGCCAAAATTAAAATCATTAACTCTGAGGGCTGCGGGCCAAATGCAATAATATAATACATGAAATGTAAATACTTCTTWTGTAAAGTTATTTTATTTTTTATGATTAAGCCAGTAGCCAGWGTGGTGGCCAACATTCTTCTGTTTTTTCAGCCCATATGGAGAAAATTCAACCTRGCAGCAAAGTCTCATGGGATTTTTTATAATGTAAAATTTGAATAAATAGGGTCGTATAAGGTGTGCAAATCTAGATATGGGCTTAAATTTAATCTAAATGCCTTTTGAAGTTACTTGTATTTTATATTTAATCTTAACATAATTCAAAGATAAATTGAGTATTATGAATTAAGACTATCTGACTACAGCTCTTTAGTTGGACCAATGGTTGAAAAGACTGAATGGAAATATTGTGTTTCTGCACAGGAGATTAGCAACTGGTGGGCCAAGTCAAATGGCTTGGCGGGCCAATTTTGGCCCGCGGGTCTCACTTTGGGCACCTCTGAACTAGAGCAAAGTTACAGAAGTTTTAGGAAAGAAATAAATCATTGTTTTGTCATTCTGCACAGAATGTTAGTATCAATAAATGTTAAGAAATCTCTGTTTTTTTTTTAATTGCAAAACTTTTTCCTCTTTTCTTACGTCTGAAAACACTTGTTTTTCAATGTTTGTTTGTTTCTTCATTACTCACATATATTTTTCACCCAGTTCATATAAAACTGTGAAAAACTATAAAGTTTGACTCCAACTGGAGCATATCGAGTTAAAAAAAAGTTTCAAAAGACGTTTCAACAGTTTGGTTCATTTCTAAATAAAAAAGTCAAGACGGACGAAAACATTTTTACTGATTTGCTCTGATGTGTAAACAGATGTGCGTCGAAGCCATTTTTCAAATGCTTGTTGTTTTTTATGAGCTTTTAGCCACGATTCTGAGGTTTCTGAGGACACAAAACATTCATGTTCAAATGACTGATCTTAAATTAACAGAGGTTTAAAGAAATTTAAATAAAAATAAAAATGCAATTTTGGAG